TGGGTGAGAGGTGCGCTGGAACTGCTGCGCGGGTGGATTCGATCCCTGGGTCGTGGCGGCGTGAAAAATCAGGGTTCTGCTAAGGATATAATCTTGATGCGTGTTCGCCAAGCTGCTCTTGTGCCTTATGAGCCTCTCTAAGTGGTGTATGATTACTCAATTCATTCTTTTGGTTTAGTGGTCCGCTAGAGGAACGGCACGTTCCGCGACAAGCTGGTAGGCGGAGAAACGGGTAGAAACTCATAACGCTTGTGCATTTGTGCGCTTTTCACTCTTGCGCGATGACAACGAGGAAAGCGCTAATGAGTAAGTCGCCATGGCTATGAGTTCTGCTCAAATCTCCGCCCATCTGATCAACGCGGAATGTGGGTTAAGAAGATCTGAGTAAGAAAACTATTGCCGGGACGTTAGCCGAAGAAAGCCGTTTGTCTTAAGAAGTTCAGTCCTCAATACTGAAGGATGCTTAGTTTTTCTTCTGTGTATGTATGATGAAAGCAGGTATACGGTACCTTGAAATGCACGGAGACCGGTCGTGTGACATTTCTTTGAGCATCTTCTACCGTTATTGCTACTGCACGACGAACACATTCGCTGCCCGTCAACGATTCACAATCCACACTTCCAATGTATGCAACATTGCAAGCTGAAATAAAAAGGTTTATTTGGAGCTGTCAAATGGTAAGTATAGTAATGGCAAGATAGCTAGACAGACCTGCACCCTGCTCCAGAAGCGCTTGGGTGGCCGACACGTGTTCCGGTGTCGTAGCCGGATCATACTCCGGTAGTAGCAACTTTGTTGGTAATGCTAGCGGAGTTATCGAATGTTGATAAACGAGAGCTGATAACGATCCGAATACTGGCTGAAAATGGGAAAGTTCATGGTCTTCTCAAATAATTTGAGCTGTCACCTTCTACTGTAGCAGTATTTCTGCCTTTAAAGTTCTCAGAGTCCATACATACCCTTGCCGGATGCCCTCCGATCCCCCTCAGAACGCTGCTCATTCCTCCACTTGCTACTAGTACATCTGACAACCAAAGATCCCATAAAGCTATAGGAGAAAGAATGTCTCAATCATAGCGGAGCCTCTTGTAACTTTTTTTATATTATCTCTATGGGCACATGCTTTGCGATTACTGCTTCAGTGCGCATTCCACACTGGCCGTATGGGTGGAGCTAGGCCTGCTCACCATTAGAGCACTCCTCCTGCTTGACTTCTTGTCGCACGAAAGGATGATCAACAATGAGTAGAGAAAGTACAATGCTAGGCCGGCCCCTCCCATACGACAAGCGTGGAATGTGCCCAACCATCTCTTAAAGGACTGATTACAAACCTCGTTATTACAGCCCTTCAGCTTCACACCCTTCGGTGACGGTTCGATGAGGAAGTGTCGAACGAGTTCTGTGCCATCACCTGGAATGAAATTTACATAAGCGGTTTTGCAGAAAGTCAGTTTGCTCTGTTTCTCAGGAAATACCCACAACCATTGAAGGTCCATTTCAGAAGAAATAAACGCTGGCCTACTCCTTCAATGAGATTAATGAATTGCGTTGCGCGTCTATTTTACAAAAATTCTAATATTTGACCTTGTCACCTTTTTCACCTTTCTCTCGAAAACCACTCGCGTCTCAGCGAAAGCCAATTTTCTCAGCGTTCTACGATTTTTTATACTTTTTCGGATAAAAGTGGCAATGCAGAAGCAAAAGGCGTGCTACCCTTTTGTGTCCACCCCACCTAAGACTGAGCTGAACAATATCAGGCGCGTTTGGAATGTTGCGGAATTAACAAGCCGGCAAAAAGGGTACACAGCACTTTCCTTGAAAAGAAAGTGATCCAGAGTTGCCTAAAGAAATATACAAAGAAAACTCCAAGTTTAAGAGGCCATGTTTCCCCATTGAAGGTCTCGCCGCTCAGTTCACGCAGACATTTTCATGGCCTCCCATTTACTCCAAAATCACGTGCTTCGTCCAAAATCTCCGGCTTAATCACATTTCAGCGTCGAAAATTCGCAGATACCAACGCGGCGTACTTCTTCTTTGGCAACCAAAAGCGCATCGATCACTGCGTATAGGTCTCCTGAGATTTTATTTTCGACGAGGGCGCAATGTCGAGCACACACACCAATCAAACAGAACTACGCAATAGAAAACGAATCTCTTTTGGAGGCATTCCCTAAAGCAAAAATGTCACGCTAATGTTTTCTAGACAGGAAGAGATATTTCGGAGAAGAAACGCTGAGCATGAGTGGCTACCAATTTATTATTGGTTGCCAAGCAGTCAACCATAGCCTAGTTGAGCCAAGGACTTGAAAGTAAGCGGAGTGTTACCAGAGACTCGCTCTACTCGCTCGAAGGTTGGTCTTAGACAGCGACGAAAACTCCTTTAAAAGAGAAAAGTTGCTCATGCTCAAATGAGATAAGAGTAACACGTTCGCGGGCCTGAGAGAGCGTAGCTCGAAGTTGTACTAGGACTATATACCTATACCACCCTTACGGTATGCGGTATACTTTATCAGAGCCCAGTTCTCCGCTGAGCCGCTCCCAATTTCTGTCTCACAGTGAAGAAAGTATGAAGGTGTGAGGTGGTCTGGCAAAACTAAAAGGTTGATTCCCGTTTGGAAGTGGTAACCATCCGGGCACGTCGCACGTCGTTGGGATCCCCAGCGGGAGGATGGCCAGGGAAAATATCTCTGATTGTTGAACTTTCCTCTTTCACGCGCACTATACACTCCCGCCGTCAAGCTGACGGCCCTCCAAACCTATCATTACTGACAGTTGATCAGGATTTCGGGAAAGTCTTGTGCGATCATTGGCCGGTCGGTGAATGGGAGGAGAAGGGTGGGGGTGGGGGATGGTCACACTAGAGAAGAAAACTTGGAGGTGCTGCATTTAGCGAAAATTCCTCCCCAAGGGCCAAGGTTTGCCCTAGTCACCGTTCCATCACCACGACCTTCAATACGGTCACCACCACGACAACTGAAGCTTCTATGGAAAAATGAGAGTGCAATTATGCAGAAACCAACACAGCCTAGGCATAAGCAGTGCCAATACGTATATGCTCACAGACCAGTATTGGCCTGATAACCATATTCCATGGCTAGCCCTCTTTCAGCAGTCATGATCGTGAGTTGCGAATAGTAAACCCAAGAAAGCTTCATCTGAGATTAAAACTGTCGTCCACCGAAGGGAAATGAGGAGGCACATAGTATAACTCGAAATAACTCAATCCTTAACGTGCTCCCTATTTTCAGCATTTTACTGCTGTAGTGTCTCACAATTACGGTAGGAAACCATAAGATGTGTTTTCCTATTATTGGGAAAGCTACTGAGTCAGAAAGGGGAATTTGAGGGAAAACCTCAGATTTCTTAGTGCCCATTCATATGGCGCTGTTCTGTTGCGATCGAATCACCCATTTATGATCTCTACACTCCCGGGAGGACAGCCGCGCTTCTGAAGGGTTGCATGAGCACATGATTCATGTGACAATGCTCATTCATAAATGATCGCTTATTACGACGATAGCGCCATTAATGATGAATGCGAAAAGTACACCCTCGGCTCCTCCTGCAGCTCCGATGGACGATTCGCCAAAAAACCAGAAGAGCGCAGTTTTCATGGAGCAGGGATAAAAATAAGAGCCTCTAATTTGCTATCCACCTGCTCTGAAGCGCTTTGCTTCGTGGAAATGGAAAGGTGTTCAAATAGTCTTTCGTCGTCTTTCTTCGAATAGTTCTTTCTTTTCAGTCTTCGAGCGGCTATGAGGACCCTTGCTTCAGATCAGATCTGAGCAGCTCAATCCAACCAAGAGAATTCATAGATCTAGGAGCCATTTGGTCCAGAAGAGTTTGATGGGCGCTACTGGCCATTTGCTTAGCGGCCTATTCCAGTGATAGCAATAAAAGTTTCCAGTTTACAAAGTGGCGAGGGTGTAAAAGAGACAGAAATTTAATGGGAGCTGTCAGCTGTCAACAGTGAGTGCAGTCAGATTGATCCGCCAACATTCAACAGATTTTTTTGGCTCGTCTTCCTTTCATTTATCGACAGACCTTCCATCAATACATTTTACACAAGGTGGAGGCTCCAGAGGATACCCTGACCTGGGGAGCAAGAGAGATTTTCATATGTATGACAGACAATACTTTGCAAGCAACCTTCATGGTTCAACCTCCCTAGGAGTAACACAGCTCCATTTTCGGGACATTCCGATGATGCTAGGGCCTTGCGAGAACTATTGGACTCCTGCCCAGTAGCTTTGGGAAAATGTTAATCGGAGCGGTTGGTGGTTCCTAGCATTAACCTATTTCTAGGAGCTTTGTCATGCAACCTGCGAATTTAATCGGCATACCCCTGAAACTGGCATCTCAGTCCGTTCAGGTGCAGTTCGACTTCGTGGGGACATTTGTTGGTTCTCATCAATCACCGCCGATGCCTCCTGTGGACAAGTGTAAATTCCTGTAAAGCTATGCAATAGCACGGACTTCGTTTACACTTGACAAGAGTCTACAGATCTCAGCAAGATGAGACGTGTAACTTAGCGGAACTAGCAAAAGGCCTTATCAAAGCGCAAAATGCCCCTCCGAAGTCGAACAGCGCCCCTTTTCAGTAATGCCTGTTCCTGTGATCATTGGGATTTCGAACTAGAATTTCTACGAAGAAACTATTCAATCGGCCACGAAGCTGTAACGGATACCAGTTCTGTCGTTTCACCAGTCAGTTTATGAGTAAAAAAAATGAAAAATTTGATCTGCATGTGAGCGAAATAATTAAGGATGGAACATGGGAACACCTATTTTCGCTTCATTTTCCTCACCTCAACAACCGTTGGTGGCACTTGGGTCACATCTACCACCTGAATTGACCAGCATTTTCACCGCCACATGTATGGGCGGTCAAAGACAAAGATTTTTCGAGCCGTAAAGGGGTCGAAAATAGACTTGATTGTTGTTCGGCAAAGCTCCTTAGGTATACAGCGAGAAAACAAAGCAGTTTCCGTTGTTTAGCCCGCGCTATTGACCAACTCAACCCATGCATAAGTAATGAATGTCGTAGAACCTCGCCACACGAATTCCTCCCGAGTAATATAATTTGGAAAACGCTTCTGTGGCCGGAAAAATAACTCTGCCTACCTACCTTACACGAGGTTTCGAGGACCTAAAATCTTCATCGTAGAGTTTTATAAGGTTTTTAGAAGGCTCTTCAAGGTCCACCACCACCACCTTGCCCTGTCTATATAAGCCGCACTCCGGATCCCCGTTCGGAACCCTGACGAAGCGTTGTTCAGAAAAAGGAAGCCAGTTTTCTCCCAACTTGATCCTCACTTACTCTTTCACGAATGTAACCACCATAACATGAACTTGTGCCCCCCATGGCTCTTCTTGATATAAACCAATTTTTTTGATACGTGCAGAAACGATGCGGTAATTAAGGGTCCAATGGCGGGATAAGTGTTGCCCGACGAGTACAGTTTCGTTTTTCTACTCCAATTTCATTTAATTACTCATTTATTCATTTATCAGTTAATTATGTAGGTTTGTTAGACCCATGGTCTATGATGTATGATGTGACATCAGTGTACTGACCTGGGGCGACTCCTGGTGGTGGAGTGGCGACTTTCAGTGCGAGTCCGAACGCACCAGGGAAGCTGTTCGAGTCGCGCACGACGAACGTGCCTGGTGCCTTGTCCCGCAACATGTTGATTGCTAAAATGGAAGGATAAGACTACTAACTCAAAGCGATTGAAAAAAAATGGGACAGATGAAAGGGAAGGCTCAAGTAGAATGAGAAGCACAAGAACAAGCGAGAGGCAAGAAACTATCTAAGCTTCGGATGGACATTTGATTATGAACGTTACAGACTGAAGTTTCGTTTTTTTCCACAGGCTGGGGTTCTTGATTTTATTTATCTATTTTTAATTCAGAACTGTAGGAGTAGTGTTGTTGATTTTTTTTGGAGAAGATTTGATTTTTCCTAAGGGATTCTCTTGGCTTGATGGTATTAATGAACTCCTAAAGAGCGTAGGTCTACTGAATCTGGTGCTAACGTATATATTTATTTGTGGGAAGGGGTGGGGATCACGTGAAGCTTCCCTGTGTGGCTTCCCCTGGCGAAAACTTAGACTCAGATCGCAAACAGTCAGAGTCCCCGCGGTTACTGTTGCAGAATACATAGTTTCTACAGAACTGTGAATGTTTTCGCTCTTGGCCTAAGCCTTGGGCAGTGTAAGGGGCACAGAGGCGCTTCCCTGGAAGACGGGCAAGAGAATCGTAAATTGCCGCTTCGTCGCGCGCGGCAATGGGCGCGACGTTTCCTTAATTTGCACTACCCTTTCGATTGGAGCATCGGATTTCATGTAGACAAGGACATGGTAGACACTTATGTCTATTTTTGGTCATACATTGTCTATTCTCGACCAATACCACCTGAAATCGTCGTCATTAGCGGGCGCGACGTCGCACGCGACGCCCACTGGCGCGGCGAATTACGATTCTCTTGCCACATACCCTGCTTCCCTCCCTTGAACATACGTTAGAGCTCTGATTTCCTCAAGATCAATTAGTTCTTTTCGTTCCGATTGTTAGTTCATTATTTATTAGTTTATTTAGCGGGAAAAATTTGTTGGTTCAGCGAAAAGAAAGCTTGGAGGCAGTTTTCATTATTTTCTTCCAATGTCAAGATTCTAATGAGTGACATTTTATGACAAATTCCTGATAGAGTGCGAGTTCAACAAATTCATCTTTAACTATCTCCTGAGCAAAATTATCGCAAGAATGGAAGAAAATATTTTTTGACTGCCACTATCTCCAGCTCACCTAATAATAGTTTCCGCTCCAACCTCGAGCATGACGCGCTGTGAAGCACTAGACTGTTATCGCCTCAGCGATGGGACAAAATCTATT